TGATCAACATTACTAAATTTGTAGAAAAAACAATTCACAATTTAAACATGATTTGTACTGCTTCTTGATTTATGATTACGTGATACACTAATCTTTCTGATGAGCTCCAGAAAGCACAGAAACTAATTTCACGACTTCCTAACGATTGCCTCTAACTATCTATCATAGGTTCAGATAAATTGATGCATACAGTTCGGTGAAGATCTGTGAGTCACGTATATACAGTGAGTAGTATTCAAGTGTTGGTTTTTTGCGGGAATTTAACTAGTTACATGATGTCATCATGAGCTGACAGCAGTTAGAGAATCATTGGAAAAACTGGGAGTACGGGACAGCTGTATCGTCCTAGTCAGGTGGGTATTTACCTAGGGTCTAATAGTGAGAAGTTGTGAACAGTGGGGTACATCAGGTCGGGTGTGAGGATAAATACTCGCCAGTGATGACGCTGGCTAGTGCCAGTCACGCTATATCGTGAATTGGCAGAAGTTGAAATCCATGGAATGACCATTGAGTCGAGTCCCAGTGTTCGAGCTCACCTTGCAATCAGAAGGTTCTGGGTTTGAACCCCGTTGGTGGGTGCGTACTGCTCAAGAGTCCCAAACTAGGACCACAGAAACAGCTGTCCAGTACCCTCTGCGGGTTTTCCGACGGTTCTCTAACCAATATCAGCTCATGATGAAATCCTGTAACCAATCAATCAAATCCCTACAAACCAATACTTGAATTGATTGTTTGTGGTATTTTCCATATTTCTGGTATGAGTGATGAGTCATTACTATTGGATTTGTTCAGTGTAGATTCACTGAACGAGGATTCAGTAATCAACCTCTGTCTATTTCCACCTAACAATATTACTTTTGAGAAATCTAATCCTCTCCCAACCTATTGTGTGGTTGTGTGTTAATGCATGCAGTGCAATTGGCGAATCGTTTTTTCTAAATGACTTATCTTCGCAGGTGGGGTCAATCATTCTGACCTTAGCTTAATTCTTGTGTTCTGGTAATCTCACTACTGCCGATCTATTGGTCTGACTGACCTATGTAGTTGACTTGACTCCCAGTCATTGCAGGGTGTTTTGTAAATTATATTATTTTGTGTAATTGGGTCAACCGACACAGTCCTTTAACCTACAAAGCTTGTCCTACCTGAGTGAGTTTGTAGGTTCAAATGCCACCCTAATTCTTTCTTTATTAAGAATCCTACATAGCGTCTGAGATATCCCCTCCTTATATGGAAAACTGTAGATGTATCATATTCTTTCTTGTTTATGTTATCATCATTAGTCCCACCATTATTTTTATTTCGCCCTCGACCTTTTTCTGATCTTCCTAACGAATTTTATAGGATAGTTGTTTAATACCAACATTTCTTCGCCAATACTAGAGATATGGAAAATACCCCCAAACAATCAATTCAAGATATGTAAAATAATGGAATTACATAAATAAAGTCAGACAATTGTATGATTAGTGCCTTGATATGACTATGAGTGGGAATAAATTGTGCTCGAAATGTGGTCATCCGTATATAATTACTTACTGTATAACACTGTGAGACATTATGAAAATAAATTTTCTCCATAATGGAATTATACTCTACCACCACAGTGCCCAAGTTCTGTTCTTATATCAATCAACAAAATAACCCTACAACTAGGAACCGTCTATAAGTTTTATGATAAACAGTCAAGCGCTTAGTATTAGATGGTTGGAGGCAATCGGTAGGAAGCCTTCAACCTAGATGTAGTGCTAGTTGGCACTCAACCATCAGTAAGGCGTATCTGCAATCTTGAAGGGAATCATGTCCCTTCTGAGATTCGAACCTGCGCCACCCAGTGCCTATTGCAGTTAGAGACGTTACCACTGAGCTATTCAGGCTCGCGATTGACCTCCTGTAGGGCTGTATTGGATGGCACACTAGTCAGTAACTAGTGCAATGTGTCTAGTCCTATCTTCGGTGCAGACTGAATCCTATCAGTCAAGTTGGCAATGTGGCCACCATGCAACAACTAGCACGAAACCTACGTCAGGCGAGGCTTCCTGCCGATTGCCTCCAACCATCTAATACCAACAATTCACAGTGCACCGTGATGGCGAGGCACCTAATGGCATGGTGGCCACATTGCAAGCTTGACTGATAGAATTCAGTCTGTACCGAAGAAAGGAGGACTAGACACGTCCAATCAAAAATAGTCAAGCGCTTAACTAAAACATCCTTATTCTATATAACACAAAATGAGTGATATAACAATTATTGACTGAATGACGTCCCGATCAATAATTTATTCATTCAGACATCTATAAAACACAAAATAATTGAGCCAGCAAAGAATATCCTATTCGATAAATTCCTCTTCTTGCTCTACAATTAAACTTATGTTTATATACATAGAATATTCTAGAATAGTAGTCAATAACAATATTAGTGTCTTTTAAATAATATCGATTTGTGAAGTAAGATCGCAGTGGAATTACAATTCATTAAAGATGCTTAAATTCTAATAACAATAAAGATATAGTAGCGAATAGAATATCAACTAAAATTAGGGAAATTTCTACAAAAAAGGAGGATCATTCGAACCTAGATGGCCAAGGTTAGGACAGTGTCTGAACTAGCTTCTTTTGGACACATAAATTAGACTTCTTAATGTGGATCCCAACAGCCACAGCAATATTTAGTAGTCGAACTCTTACGGCGAAGTGAAGATTTGTTGGTATGCGTAAATGACTTTAAAAGCGGCCTCGTTGACATCAGTCTTGTGTTCTGTCTGTATCCACAAGATGAGATAGAATAGAGCTACGAATAGATTTTGTTTTTCCTTTACTTAACCACTGTGCGAGATGATGTTCCGAAATTCGACGAGAAACACACCTAATTGTACGGCCTATGTAAGTGGTCCTACATGAACAGTTAAATTGGTAGATACACATGGAAGAAGCGAAATTAGACAGTTTATCTTTTACTCCCGAACGCAAAATAGGGTTGGGTGGTTTTGAAGACACAGCGTAATTCAGCAGCAGGGAATGCTCTTTTCATCGCATTCCTAAGGCGTCATATTCTTATCAATGAACTTTTCTGGATAACATTTTTCACTCAGCAACCGTTTAATATTATTAAGTTCCTCATCAAGACATTCATCTGAGCAGATTGCTCTTGCTCTGTGAACTAAGCACTCATATCTCGATTAATTCTAAATGAGCCTGGAAATCCAATGGTAGCAGCTTAAGGAACAAGGTCTGGATGTTCATCACTTGTGTCAATTCAGTCAGTGCTTCTGTGTGATTCAGAGCACTTTTTATGGTCAGCTAAACGACTTTCTTCAACAGCTGTTTTCACTCGATGATGAATATCAATCAGATAGTGAGTTAGAAAAGGATAGCCAAACAAGGAATTCTGACAACCCACCAAAGAAACAACGATTATAGAAAAAGAAATGGAGATGGATTGGTCAAACACTAAGGAGAACATTGAGTGATTTCATATTCCAGGCCTTCGAGTGGAACGTGAATGATAGGAGACGACCAGTTGGACTTTCGACATTGGCATGAGACCGATAATGTGGGTAGGGAATGAAAGCCAATGGGCAATTGTAGAGCCAGCTAGAAACACGACTGCACAGAACACAGTGAAATGGAAGTGTGCTGATGGTGATGTGTATTCCCCATCGGGAATAATAATTATTATATCGAATGTATTCTCACACGACGTAACAATTTAATTTATGCTGCTGGACAAGTCCCCTGGTTTTAACATTAAGTTGACCTCACTTGGGGGGGGGGAATCTAAAAACTGAATTAAACAATGACTATCCTTAAAACAATACTAACTATGAACGAGAAGTCACACACACGACCTGTGAATGTGTGCATTCTCACTCAATAAGGAACGGTTAAAAGGCTAATTCACTTAACGAGATTCTGACAGTCACACTTCATTAAATATTACACAGACGTATCTAGTTCTCTAGCTACATTGAATCCCTAACACTCACATAACTTATATTATTATTATTATTCCCTTGGGTTTCTAGTGGAACATAGGGAGGCTTCAACAACACATCTCCACTTTCTTTCTTTTATTTCCTGCTCTCCTCTTCAACTGGGTCCACCACGATTGACCATAATCTCTCATCTCCTCCTCGACACACGATCTCCTCCATGTCATCCTCGTCCCGACAACCCCCATTGCGCGCGATGTCATTCGATGACCTCCTAAACGTATACCTAATCCAATTTCATTTTCTCCTACACATTTTTGTTGAACAATCGGCTCTTATGCATAACTTACAAATACATAAATTAAACATATTTTCATAGATGTCTACGATCTCTTTCTCACGTTAGGTGGCATAATAAGGTAAGTAATGTTGACGTTAGGCGTAGAGTGTTGGGCAAAGAGGGAAAATCAATCAACGACGCTATAAAGTTACATAGATTGATATGGCTAGGTCACGTGATGCGCATGCCTAACCATCGCCTCCCCCGATGGGCATTACCACCTGATATAGGTGCAGGTTGGAAAAGAGTAAGTGGTGGCCAAACAAAAACATGGCATCAATCAATCCATGAAATCCCTGACAGTTAAACTGAGTCAGGTAGGGAGATGCAGACTTCCGGGTTGGGGCCCGCCCTCGGGACTCTAAGAATCAATGGCTGGAGACAATAGGTGACATGGCTCAAAATCGTTGTCAATGGCTTACGCAGATGTATTCAGTCTCTGTAATCTTTCATATTCCTTTCTACCGTTACTCATTTTGTTTCACTCTTATACTTGTCAAAACTCTATTGATTCTCTTCATCACTCATCTTCTTGTCTACCTTTGTGTACTATTTGGAACGTGGCAACTCAAACTGCTGCACTTCGGTGCCAAATTCTATGTTGAATCCAGACACACAGATTTTCACCACTCACTGTACAACCAACTGGAACTCAAACTGATCAGATATATACACCTTCAACCCACACACCCAGCCCATCCCGAAAGAAAAACAACCTTATTACTCCGTAAGGGAATTAAAACTAAGCATATAGAAAAATTCATCTTATATTTTTAAATTTAATTTATGCAAAGAAAGAGACACCTTAATTAATCATATATCACTGTTCAATGGAATAACAAATCACAAATTAGAAATACTAAACATTTCAACAATCGACTATCACAAAATGGAAAGGTGAGTGGAGAAAGAAAGTTTGTGAAACAGGAGATGCTAAAAAAGAAGAAGAAGACGGCGACGAAAAACGACAATCCATACACAATTGGTGGTAGGTATTCATCACTCAATGGAAACAAACAATGAAGCAGGAGAGAATAAGCATAAAAGAGGACGAAAGTAAGACAATTTTTTCATCGGTGTACAAAGGTTAAAAGATTATTTTGCTTTGTACACGTCATTAATTTGTCTTTTTTGTTTGAACTTTCGTCTGCCTGCTTATTCACTCCATGCATACACACACACGCAAGCAGGGAAAGAGAAAGACAGTAATGTTGACTTAAAGAATACTGCATTCAGGTGGTGGTTTACACTTGGTCACCTCTTTTGGTGTTTCACCGTTTGTTATTGCAATCAACTCAGAAATAATCTAAAATTCAATAAGGAAATAAAGTAAATTTTTGTGTAAATAAAAAGGGTGATCGAATGAGGAGTGTAAGCGGTGATATGAGTTTTTTGTTTACATAATCACTTGAGTCGATGGTTCACAAGAAGTTGTAGGAATGCTCACCACAACCAGGCATGTAGTCCGGTGTGCAATTCCCAATCGACATACTCCTCCCACTACTATAACCTCACCTAGTTTACTCGTCGATAGCAAGTTTGGGAAAGAGGGAAGATTGGGTGTGAGGCTAGCAACCTGATCCTTTAAGAACACGACACCTACTCATGAAACTTCAAGACATCAAGCCTGGAGCGTTACATTTCATTCAGAATACAGTAGGAACTAAGAGTACGTAAAGTAAAAGTTTCATCACTTCGGTAGTATACCACATCTAATCTATACATGAATCAGTAATATTAATATGCCAAAAGTTCTCAGTTGGTGCTTCAGTGGGGTAATAGGTGGATACGGTTGTAGAGCCCCTCAGACGAGAACGCAACAGCCTCTCTGTACTCCTCGATAGTTTCCAGTGGCTCTGTAAATAATGCCAGTCCGTTAGGAAATTAGCCATGCTACGTAATCAAGAAAACAAATAAATGACAGCCTGTGCATCTGCAATCTACTGTGAATCCTACCAACTGCATAAAATGTATCTGTAATAAAGTAGGCAGGAAAGGATTTATATCACGTTGATAAAGATTCTCAACATTCAGATGGTTGGAGGCAGTCGGCCACAGGAAGCCTTGATTGACCTAGGTGTCATGCTAGTTGGCACTCACCAGTCAGTCAGTCAGCAAGGCGTATCTGCAGTTACCTTGAAGGAACAACTCACGTTCCTCCTTCTGAGATTCGAACCCCCGTCACCATCCAATGCCACAGTCAGAGACTTTACCACTGACTTTTTCGACCGATTACCTCCAACTATCTAATTATCAACTTTTGGCATTAATTTATTCCATGCACCCTAATATAAGACAAAATAATTGTATAACGGCACAAGAGATTAAACAGTTGTCTACTGACTTAATTTAAACCTGAATTCCAATGACTGAAAGTCGAATGTTCCGTTGAAACACCAATCTACACATACATATTCATGTTATACCTAATAAGCAATAGCGTTAGTCTTTACGGAACTAACTGTGGTCATGTATGTGAAACACACCTGAGTTACTCACATAAGCTTCCAACCGATGATGTCAGAATAGAAACATTTTAAATTGATTGATGAAGGTTTCTTGCAAAGTTCTAAGCTTATTTGTTCGTCTACCTGTCTATCTCTATTATTATTATTATTCCCTTGGGTTCCTAGTGGAACATAGGGCTTCAACTGCACGTCTCCACTTGCTTCTGTCTTCTGCTGTACTTTTCACTTGCATCCATGTTAGTCCATACTGTTTCAATTCCTCTTCACACGATCTCCTCCATGTCACTCTTGGACGTCCCACTCACCGCTTCCCTTTCGGGTTCCACTCGAGCACTGGCCTGACGTGCGATGTCACCCAGTGGCCTCCTCAGCGAGTGTCCAATCCATCTCCACTTTCTCCTGCATATTTGTTGGGCGATTGGTTCTTGTTTTGTTTCTTCCCATAGTTTCTTGTTGGTTATTCTTTCCGGCCATCTAATCTTCAGTATAGAGCGAAGACAGCTGTTGCTGATAAAGGTCTGCAACAGGCTGTTGGAAATATTCTTGGTGACCCGCCAAGTTTCTGATCCATCCGTATAGAAGAACTCACTGACTTGACGTTTGTATTGAAAATCCGAATCACTTTGTTGTTGATGCAGGCTGAGTGACAGCGGAAGATTTCCAGATTGGTTTCAGGTTGATGAATGTGTTTCTCGCCTTCCCAATTCCTGATTTGACATCCTCGTCCGTCCGTTCCTCGTGTAGTTGAGACAATGCTCCCTAGATAAGTGAATGAAGTAACCTCTTTCAAATCCCTCCCGTTGATGGTGATTGGCGCTGGATGTTGCTGTTGTTGTTGGTTGTTTGGTTATTTTCATAACCTCCGTCTTGTCTATGTTCACATGGAGTCCTGTCTTTGCTGCCAGCCTCTTCGACCAGTTTGTCGGTTTTCGCTTGTAAGTCTTCGATTTTGTGTGACATCAAACATAAATCATCCACGCGCGAAATCCAGGTCTTCTAGGCTATTCACGTCGGTCCAGGATATCCCTGTCTTCTCGTTTCCCACTGCCTGACGACGCATAATCCAGTCCACCACAATTAGGAATATCATTGGTGATAATAAGCACCCTTGTCTGACTCCTGTGTTTACTCCAAACGCCTCGCTGAGTTTTCCGTTGTGGATCACTTCGCATGTATCGTTGTCGTACAACTGCTGAATAAGGTTGATGAATATTTGGGGTACGCCATAGTACTCGAATAGTTTCCAAATTACTTCGCGGTCAACGCTGCACTGTCGAAGGCCTTCTCAAAGTCTATAAAGTTGAGATAGAGGTCTATCTCTGTTAGTATTCAATAATTATGGCTGGAATTAAGGAAGAATATCGACTCACTGAATACTGGCTCTGGCTGGCTCTATGACGCTTTAAGTTCACTAGTTATAATTCAGTCTACTTACTTTACTTTACTTCGGCTATCTCCTAAGGGAGGATGAGCCGGCTTCATGAACATCTCGAGTCGTTTGTAAGAGAGTTCATGAAGTTTCATGGGAATTTGGTACGAGTGATGTCCCCAGAATCACTCGGCCTTTTGTTTGAGAGTGCAGCTCTAGCCTTTACACAACCAAGTGTGACCTACAAGGCAGTAGGAGTGGAGTAGGGAGTCCACTATCCATTGGCAGCCGGTGACCGGAGTTCGGTTCATATGCCTTTTTCAATGGGGCCAGACATCCAGGACATCCAACAAGCCCTTTGTCCATACGTCTTCCGGTGAGCTCCAGTGAGCTTCATACGCCAGTTGTTGGAGGTTTGGAATCAGGGTTTAGCCATCTCCCCTAGACTGTCATCCAATGGACAGTCAACCCGGTGAAGAGCGCCGAGCATCCGCTTTCGCCCTCTCACTTTGGTGAAAAACACCTCCGCCACGTGAAGGCAGTGAGTAGGACTCCCTCAGGAGAGGCTATGTAAGACGCCCGGTCATATGGGAGCATTTCAAGAGGTGTGCGGAGGGGTGGCCAACCCGCAGCGCAAGGCACCCCTCCCCGACCATCCCGAGGCTTTGGAGTCTACTACCTGACTAAGTGACTTCAATAGTATTCCATCTTAAAATGGTGTAGATTACTAGATTACCTGACTGCTGGTTGACAACCCTCTGGCTTCGAGTTAACATGCTTTGAAACAACAACAACAATAGCCCCGGTAATGTAATATATTTTTCACAGAAGTTTGGGAAAAATGAATAAAGAAAACTTACGGCTTCTGTATCTGGGAAACCACCGCATTTCAGTTTTGAAAAAATCAGTTTATCATTTACAGTAACCTCAAATGAATCTGAAAGAAGAAATAATGAAAACATAACGTATTATGTCTGCAGAAGAGGGAGGTAATTGTTCATCTTTCCTAGACACATTGCATAGTCGACGGCTAGATGGGTCAACAAAACGATCTATTTATAGAAAACCTACCTGGACAGGACAGTATCTTAATTACCACAGTTTCTGCCCTGTTCGGTACAAAAGAGCTTTAGTATAGGTGTCTCTTCAGTAGAACCCAACGAATATGCACTGAACACACACACTTGATGAAGAAGAAAGAAAGTTGACACAAACTCTGGTTGATAACAATTATCCAGACAAATTCATCAGGAGATATTAAGTAGTCAGAACACCAAGACCCACTCCCCAACTCGCTCCTAAGAAAGACGTGTACATCAAGCTACCCTATATGGGGCACCATAGCAGCTTGATAACTAGACAAAGATTTAACGCTGGTGTGGATAAAATGACTTTTTATGCTGCTAATTTCATAATAGTTGAGAATGTGAAGCCAATATATCCATCCATATAAGCCCTTTGGACATGCGAGAAATAATGTCTCTTCCCACTGTATTTACCCATTTGAATGTACGTGTGGACACACATACATAGGGAGGACTCATCGATCTCTGCAAGTAAGGGCTGGCCTCAGAGCATATTCCTAAATGGCTCCGAAAGCAAACAGAATCCTCAGAAAGCATTAATGGTTGGAACGGGAGACCTAGCTCCTCTATTGCGAAACATTTTATACAGACAGTACATAAAATTGAAGTTTACACATCTTTTAAACCTATCTGTAAAATGTGTTTGAGGAGTATCCTAAAGTTTGTGGAAGCCCTAGCAATTAGAAAGTTTAAACCACTTTTATACGCTCAAGGCGACATTTCCTCATCACACTAAACCTACCTTCCTTGGTAAACTTTGTTTTGATATCATAGCAGATGTACTATTACCTCTGTTATTTGGTTTATTGGTCCTCATTGTTATCTTGATCTTCAATGTGTCCTTTTAACTTGATCTAAGTCTATTTTCTCACCTCTTAACTCTTTATTAATTTCATATATATTCCTATGACAAGTCCGTGTGTGGTCGTCAGATTGTTCGAAATGTGTTGTGCGCGCAAATACATTACACGATTCAGACAAATTACGTCTTCTTATTGCTTTGTCTATAATAGTGACATTAATAAAAATAATTCATTTATCGTGAATTTGCAGAAGTTAGAATTAACCGGCCATTGGGACTCTTTCCCAGTGGCTAAATGATCAACGAGCTCATCTTGTCGACCAGAAAGTTCTGTACTCCATACCCAGAGTACTGTTGGGAGAGTCCTAAACAAGAATGAAACACTTGTCCAGTAGTACTTCATGATCAAACTTAACATTAATTCACACAGCCAATGCAGATTGTCATTCAATTGCATATTGAAAAATGTTTATCATTATTTAGTCAGTAGCCACTATTATTATTGTTGTTTAAAGGCGTTAGATCAACTTACTTTGTCGACCCTCATAGATATGAACAGAAGCTGATTTAAATCTCTGTTGAATTGCAGCCCCAAGGCTTCGTGCCTCGGGTAAATAAGCTCATCCATTGCTATAAAATGAGTAGAATAGGAGAGAAAAACCGATTAAGTCAATGTAATAAACAAACAAGTACTACTTTGTACATGATTGAGAATACCTTAAAATGTCTAGTTGAGAAAAGAGTTCTCACTCTAAATTATCAACACACATACTCATAAGGTGTGACGTTGAAAAGTATTTCTCATGCCTACACGCCTTGATAAACGCAGAAGATGACTCAATAGTAGAAAGTCAACTGAGCAACATCCACAAACCGGATGACAAAGGTCAACAGTCCACTGGGTTGTTTCTTTTTGCCTCAATAAATTACATCAAGTCTTAGTGAAAAATAATCAAAAGTTTCTTACAAAAGGCAAAAATTAGAGATTTTCGTCTCGCTGAAAATTTATGCCGAATATTTATTTTATTCAAAACACAAGACCTGGTAGAATATAGCACCAAAAAGATGTGCCACATATTGTATGAGGGCTGAGATACTGCCCGGGTGCCGGTGGCTGTCTTAACGGACCCCCCCTCCACCGAACCTTTGACTTGGTGTAGCAAGGTAGAGGAGTAGCGTCAAGAGCTCCGTTTTCATGGCTGCCGATAACCAATACAAGTTCACAAACCATTCGGTCCGAATGGATTCTGGAGTCCATGTATCCCATAGTAACTACCTTTAGTCTAACCTCTAACCAAAACAACCTTTCTGGCATGGTAGGACTTGCAGGAACATAAGTCTCAGCCAGTGTAGCTTATTGAGTCACCGCGGTATGCACGCCCAACCATCACGACAAGGCAGCAGTTGTCAGCCGGGAATGTTGAACACATAAAAATCAACGTATTATCCAACTAACTAGAATATATATACACATATATGTGAAACTTTAGAAAAAACGTACCAGTACTCAATTTTTACTACCAGATTACGACCACCGTCCATCTTGATTTATATCCAGAACTTGATATATACCTTTCAGTTGACAATATTCTTCAGCACTTAAAGAACCTGTGAATTATTTACAAAGGAGTTACTACTGCATCAGTTAATATACAAGAATTCTGATGTACACATTTGTAATAACAAAAGAATTTAATTAACTATCGATAGATAACTAAAAGTTCACACACTTGAACAGTTGTGTTCATTATGATGATGTAAATATACCTTATGAATTGAAGTGAATTATCAACAACAAAACTGCAACCTTTTCAAGTTGCTGAACATCAAAAAAGCACACATGACGGTTGAAGAAAGAAATGAGTACACAAAGTACCATAACCCAAACGAACAATCTACCTAAAGCCCGCCAACGACAAATTAGAACAATCACATGGCAACAACACACTTAATTTTTAGTAATTTAACACGAATAAATGAACAAAAATGAATTCAGTCAAAGTAACGAAGCAAAGTGACGGATTAGTGATCCAAAGGGAACGGACAATCCCGCTCAAGAGTGGATTTGGATCCCTAACTCGTATCCAATCCCCAATCTTTCTCTTACTTTAACTGTAATGTATCCAAAGTCTACCCTAATGTCTCCCTAATTAGGTTCATCGAAGCTTAACGGCCTCCTAGCCTAACCCTTATCTTTCCTTAGCGTAACCTGAAAATAACCAGATATCCTGTCTAGCATCACTACACTTTACTCGACTTTTCATGATTATAGAGTTATTTATCCGGTTCCACTAGCTTACTCCACATGTGCGTTTGTTCTAACTGGTCACTATTCCTTAACGTAATCCGAAACCCTAACCTTAACCCTACGAATGAAGGTAACCCTAAGTAAGTCTTAACCTTAACTACTGCTAAACCTAACTCTGACTACATAAAACAGGGATATAATTGTAGACCAGCTCGTGAATAAGGTTAATAGAATAGACGCAACAGAGGAATGGTTTGATCGGTTTTCCAAGGTCATTTGGTGGATTGCTTCCTGAGAAACGCGATGGAATCACAACAAACGAAAATATATGGAACAAAGACTAGTTACATGGAGAGAATGTGGATTCTCACAGTAAAGACGAACACAAGGAGTGCATATGTCTGCACTGTTTAGAACGATTAGTTTGAATAAATTCATGGCTCATCCGTTAGTAAACTTAGTAGGCGGAGAATAACTATGCTATGCCAACCAACTGAAAAGAGCTTCTTATAGTTTACTGCACATGATTTATCCCTGTTAACCCATTAAGGCGATAACTATTTTAGGCTCTTGTAGCCTGTGTCAATCCTTGCAATGCCTCTGTGGGCAAAGTTCAACAATAGCGTCCCAGGAGTGGGAACGCACGAGTGACTTTCTGCTGACCAATCATAAAAATGAGGAATGTTTGCTCAAAAAGTGATGTATATTGACAAGAAAATGCTTGAAAATGCATTAAACAGGTTATCTTTCTCTGACATGGCTTAAAAATACGTCCTAGTTGTAACGAGGAGTATCAGTTGCTAAGTTACACTAGTTTCTGTACATGTATTCACGGAGATGACTACAGATAAACTGTTTTTGTGAATCGTTTGTCTCTCTCAGCCTGCTTGCAGTCTTCCAAAAAAGCCCTCGGTTGAATTATTATGGTTTCCAGCAAGAGGGTAGACGACTACTTACCAGGAAAATGTGGATAATTAAAAACATTAAAATAAATGACATAAACTATAAGTCTATCCTTAATCGTAACCATAAGCTCAATCCTGACCCCAATCATTGACCCAATAGACTATCTCTGTCCGGCGAAGCTATAATTCAGATATTTTTTAAATGCTAGTACTGAAATGAGAACACAAATCAAAGACAGAATCTACGGTTGCTAGTCTGAGTGTCCAGCTAGCAAAGGCATCAGGTTCACTGCAGAAGTGTAGGGCCTACGTCAGGTAAGGGGACAACGTTGTCTCAGTCTATCAAATAATATTAGCCACCAAAACCGTTCATTAGGCCTGTTTCTTGTGACTAGTATTAGATCCAAGGACAAATATGGAGTAAATCAGTAACATGGATGAAGCGTTACAGTAGAAGTGCGGACAACACCCACCACTTACGGACTCGACAGCTGTTAGGTATCTTTTGCCGCCGTCCTTCAACGTACAAGGTTTTAGAGGTTTCAAACAAAACAATAATTTTTAATCTTGTTTTTCATTTTTAATAACTCCATGAGATAATCATTACCCTACATTCCTAATATGATAAACGAACTATATAGGTTGCCCACATAAAAGGACTTTAAGGATTTTTAACGACGCTGATGGTCCAAGGTAATTCATTCTTTCAAGTAGGAAATAATGAAGGGGAAAGTCCTACGCGTTGAAGCTCCCCACTTTATCCCAGCGCTCATAAAATGGGTCCTAAATAGGTCTTCAAGACCTGCCTTCTGATCAGCATGAGCGGTTTTCTGCTAAAGTAAACTGTGAATCTCTCGATTTATTCACGAATGATAATGCTTCTTTCCATTGGGAACAATCCTAGGGAAGCACTGTGGCTAACTTGACAGTATAGTTCGCTGAAGTGAATCATCCCTTTTGTCATGCAAATTTATCGGCCACTATGCTGTCCTTATATACATTCGGCTCACTTCGATTGTTGGTGTTAACCTAGACGCAAGTTTTCTCGCGGGAAGTTCGTATCTCAATCATTAAGAAAATCAAGTCAGCAGCCAAAGAAGAATGCTACGAATCAGATGAGGCGTCTCCCTCAACATGGCGCTAACAGCATATGCTGCGGAATATTCAAGCAGAAGAAAACAAATGCCAGGAACCTTGTCAAGGAAAATGTACCAAATAAGCGTTTTTACCAAAAAATATGACGTGCATCTACTATACAGTAAAATAATGTAAAGTTCAAAATATCGGGAAGAAAATATACATCTAATTTAATTTTTTTTCTAAGTGCATGTTTAATGTACGGTTATAGGAAAAAAAATCATTTACTTGTGTTGAGTGATGCTACATAAAAAAATTGATGCATCCGAAGAGAAATAATGAGTTGGGTGAAACGCACCACTCAGTTATGTGAAATAGGTGTGAAGGTATTCTGGGAATCTAACGTGACGTCCAGAACGCGTTTTCTTAGAGTGTTCGACCGAAGTTTCGGTGGCTTTCGCCGTGCTAGGGAGTTCTTCGAAGAGTAAAGGAGATTCAATTACTTGTGGATTATGGGGTACGTTTAGCTCTAGGCTAATAGGATTACCTTCCAAGTAAGCCGGTTTCAGACTGTTGATACTGACGGTGTCTTCGCGGCCTTTCTTGTCTAAGACGAAGAATTTATCTGTACGTTTAATTACTTTATATGGTCCGTCATACGGGGGTTCGAGAGGGCGACGCACAGAGTCGCGACGAACAAATACGTGTGAAGAAGTTTTAAACAGGCGTGGACGAAGACATCAATGGACTGTGGTCGAAGGGGAGCAGGTTTAACTGAACGCATAGCGTTTGTAAGCCTACTGACGTATGAGGAGTGATCTACCGCTAGTGGGCAGCTCGAGGGAGAAACAAACTCACCTGGCAGTCGTAGTGTCGTGCTGTATACCAGATCAGAGATAGTACAACCAGCATCGGTTTTAAAGCGTTTCGTATCCCTAGGAGAACTAACGGAAGGGATTCAGTCCAATGGGTGTTGTTTGCAGCTGATAAACCAGCTTTCAACTGTCTGTGTAGACGTTCTACCATACCATTAGCTTGTGGATGGTAGGCTGTTGTTCGAAAACGCATGCAACCAATGATACTTAAAGGTGCCGTTGGATCTTGATACATAAAGAGGGTGGCATCCGCAATAGCTTTCTTTACCTGAGTAAAAGCATGTCGAGAAGACGCGTCGAGTTCGATAGGCTTGTTATTCCCTCGAAGGATGTCTGTTAATGGCTGAATCAG